GACACTACCAGAGAGAGGAGAGGACGAGCCAGCAAGACTGAACCTAGCATCCATCTTGAGTAGTGCAGATATTGAGGTCATCACATCTGAAAGACTCCTCAGGGCCAGTGACCATGTGGTTCTGAGCTTCGGAAACATAGTAGAGTTACAAGTGGAGAAGGAGGCAGGAAAAACAAGACGAATTAATCCAAACTACAAGAGAGATGACTACACAGGCATGAAGAATTTCCTGTATGATGTTCAGTGGGACAGAGCACTGCCAGGGAAGTCAGTAAATAGGATGATGGAGTATGTGGCAATAATATGCAAGGAAGCTGAGGAGAGGTTTGTACCCAAGGGTTAACAGAAAGAACGAGAAAGACCAGGATGAGCCCGTGGTTCACTCAGAGGTGTAGAGAGGCCAAAACTAAGTGTGCTAGAGAATGGAAGAAGTATAGAAGACAAAGGACCTAGGAGAATAAGGGGAGCAGTCATAGAGCCAGAAATGAATATGCACAGGTAAGAAGGGAGGCCCAATGACAATACGAAAATGACACAGCAGCGAAAGCCAAATCTGACCCAAAGCTGTTGTACAGCCACATCACCAGGAAAACAACAGTCAAGGACCAAGTAATCAGGCTGATGAAGGAAGGAGGGGAGGTCACAAGAAACGTACAAGAAGTATGTGAGGAGCCACAAGGGACTCCAGAAAGACGGAAAGGTAGGGAACACCATCAAGTGATGGACACAATATATACAAACGTGGAAAAAGTGAAGAGGCTGCTAAGCGAGCTAGATACCTCAAAGGCGAAGGGACTGGATAACATTTCTCCATGGGTCCTGAGAAAAGGAGAAGAGGTGCAAAGTGTGCCACTAACAATAATCTTCAACACATCTATCGAAACAGGGCGACTACCTGAGGTATGGAAGACAGCAAATGTAGTCCCAATTTGTATAAAAGGAGACAAGGACAACCAGCACGGTTTCAGGGATGGGAAATCCTGTGTCACAAACCTTCGAATCTCTTGCCAGCGGGAAATTCGTCTGTAAAAACTTGCATTTGTGGTCACAGTGGTGCCTATGCTAACCTTCCTATGGTGTATAATTATACCTAGTTGGACGAATCTTATTGTAGCCAGCTGGCCCAGTGACTCTCTGATTGCGGCTTCTATCCCCGCCCGTAGTATGGTTTAGTCTTGTTGGTTCGTCATCTCTCTCTTATGTCTTGTTCTAAACTTGGTAATTCAGAAAGTTTTCTCTAATCACCTTCATCAACTTGGCCCTCCACGTTTCCGGTCCTTCATATTGGTCCCAGGTTTTCCAAATCGGTTTCTCATGGGTTGAAGTTGTCCATTATAAGTAGCTTCGATTTAGCCCTAAATGGTCTCCTGGCTGCTTCTGTCAACCATAACTCAACTCTTTATATTCCTACCTTGAACTCATATTAGAAGGTGGTGGTTAGAATATCACTACAACCCTATTTTGAGTCTCATGGCCTTAACTGAGCACACCATAAAGTCTTCATCCTCTTGTCTGTTTATTCTTCTCACATCTTACAAATTCCACTGACTGTGTGTGTGTGTGTGTGTGTGTGTGTGTGTGTGTGTGTGTGTGTGTGTATGTGTGTGTGTGTGTTTGTGTGTGTGTGTGTGTGTGTGTGCTTACCTGGAGTTTACCTGGAGAGAGTTCCGGGGGTCAACGCCCCCGCGGCCCGGTCTGTGACCAGGCCTCTCACACGTATGAAATATTTATCTAAGGAACAGCAATAAAGTTGCTCCCGGATAAAAAGTATATATATATATATAGGTTGGGCTTGTATGTGTGTTCAGTACATTTATTATAAATAGCTCTAAAAGGCTTTTACTTAAATTCTTCAGAATTGCCTTCCACATGCTGTCGCAGAAATCCTATCTAATAGTATTACAGGACGCCTACATTGCCAGGGTAAACCCTAACAGGAAGCTGCAAACCGTTTTCAACGTAATAATGTTATTGTGTGTTAGAGGTAAAAGAGGTGAACGTTGCTGACAGACAAGAATGTTGGAATGGGAGAGAGAGAGAGAGAGAGAGAGAGAGAGAGAGAGAGAGAGGAGAGAGAGAGAGAGAGAGAGAGAGAGAGAGAGAGAAGGATAGAAAATGGGAAAATGGCGGGAGAGAAAGAAATAAGAAAATATTTCTTATAATTATTCAAAATTGAGGTATAGCGACATAGAAGACTTTGAAAACCTCTCTCTGGAAAAATGCTGGACCAGTAGGCTGTGTTTACTTCCTTTCCCGATGGAGTGAGATATTCCAGGACAGCAACCTGGTATATTACACAACACACGCCTCGCCAGATATACCAACACAGACGACCAAAATCAATTCATAATAACGTTAATTCATATGAAAACTTATGAACAATTCTCCAGATCAAAGTAGTTCCACTGGTAACCTTAACATTGGTAATATTTGTACCAGAAACAGTAACAGGTAATTATTTTTATTAAGCCTTGATATATAGCTGAGGAAAATATGTAAATGTTATAAATGTATTTGTGAATAACAAAATTTATGTATTAGTATTTGTATTATCAGCATTAGTCGTAGTGTTATTATTAGTAATAATATTAACATTAGTAATTGTATTAGATGTAGTAGTAGTGGTAATGAAAATGAAGGTAGAAGTCGTAGTAGAGTAGTGCTAGTAGTAGTAGTAGTAGTAGTAGTAGTAGTAGTAGTAGTAGTAGATATAGTAGTAGTAGTAGTAGTAGTAGTAGAATTACTATTGGCAATATTTGCATATGAAGAAGAAATTATATTATTATAGTTATTATATTCATTATCATTATTATTATGTAAGATTATTATGTTATTATTATTATTATTATTATTATTATTATTATTATTATTATTATTATTATTATTATTATTATTATTATTATTATTATTATCATGTTTCTGTGTTTCTTCTTTTTTTTCTTTCTTTCTTCTTATTATTATATATTATTATTATTATTATTATTATTAATTATTATATATTATTATTATTATATTATATGTTTCTGTGTTCTTCTTTTTATTTCTTCTTTATTATTATAATATTATGTATAGTATTATTATTATTTGATTTTATTAGTAGTAGTATAGTAGTGGTGGTGGTCTTGGTAGTAGTATATTAGTAGTGGTGGTGGTCTTGGTAGTAGTATTATTAGTAGTGGTGGTGTCTTGGTAGTAGTATTATTAGTAGTGGTGGTGATCTTGGTAGTAGTAGTAGTATTAGTAGTGGTGGTGGTCTTGGTAGTAGTATTATTAGTAGTGGTGGTGGTCTTGGTAGTAGTATTATTAGTAGTGGTGGTGGTCTTGGTAGTAGTATTATTAGTAGTGGTGGTGGTCTTGGTAGTAGTAGTAGTATTAGTAGTGGTGGTGATCTTGGTAGTAGTAGTAGTATTAGTAGTGGTGGTGGTCTTGGTAGTAGTAGTAGTAGTATTAGTAGTGGTGGTGGTCTTGGTAGTAGTATTATTAGTAGTGGTGGTGGTCTTGGTAGTAGTAGTTATTAGTAGTGGTGGTGGTCTTGGTAGTAGTAGTAGTATTAGTAGTGGTGGTGGTCTTGGTAGTAGTATGTATTAGTAGTGGTGGTGGTCTTGGTAGTAGTATTATTAGTAGTGGTGGTGGTCTTGGTAGTAGTATTATTAGTAGTGGTGGTGATCTTGGTAGTAGTAGTTAGTAATTAGTAGTGGTGGTGATCTTGGTATAGTAGTAGTATTAGTAGTGGTGTGGTATTGGTAGTAGTAGTAGTATATTAGTAGTGGTAGTGATCTTGGTAGTAGTAGTAGTATTAGTAGTGGTGGTGGTCTTGGTAGTAGTAGTAGTAGTATTAGTAGTGGTGGTGGTCTTGGTAGTAGTAGTATTAGTAGTGGTGGTGGTCTTGGTAGTAGTAGTATTAGTAGTGGTTGTTATCTTGGTAGTAGTAGTAGTATTAGTAGTGATGGTGATCTTGGTAGTAGTATTATTAGCAGTGGTGGTGGTCTTGGTAGTAGTAGTAGTATTAGTAGTGGTGGTGGTCTTGGTAGTAGTAGTAGTATTAGTAGTGGTGGTGGTCTTGGTAGTAGTATTATTAGCAGTGGTGGTGGTCTTGGTGGTAGTAGTAGTAGTATTAGTAGTGGTGGTGGTCTTGGTAGTAGTAGTAGTAGTAGTAGTAATAGTAGTTAATGGGTTGGACAAATATTCTCTTAGGGGGATGATTTGTGTAGGACCTGCCTAGTATGGGCCAACAGGCCTGATGTAGTGTTCCTCCTTTCAAAGATTCTTATGCTCTAATAGTAGTAGTAGTAGCAGTAGTAGTATTGTAATAGTAGCAGTAGTAGTAGTGGTGGTTTTGGTAACAGTAGTAATGTCAGTAGCAGTAGTAGTAATAGCAGTAGCAGTAGTAACACTAGTAGTAATGACAGTAGAAGTGGTAGAAAAATAAGTAGAAGTAATAAGTAATAGTAGTAGCATCATTTTTAAAGGGGTGGACCGGTAAGCCAGCGGAAGGCCTCGGTCAGATGACCAAAAGCTGCAAGGGCGAGTCATCATCTGACAAAGACCGGCGTCAAGAAACACTTGTCCTGTTTCCTGACGAACCTTACCTACCCTAATTGTTAGTAGAAGCGGCAATAATGCTACTAGTAGTAGCAGTGGTGGTAATAGCAGCGGTAATAGTAGTAGTGGTAGCAGTCGTACTAGTAGTGGTATTACTAGTAGTTGTTGTAGTAGTAATAGCATTCATAGTAGTCACAGCAGCACAATAAATATCAGAAATAACAAATATTACGTATTAATGGGTAATATTGTGTTCTTACTAGAATGCAGAAACTCCAATTTACTTGCTAACTCTCCTTTTATTTTTACTCCTTCTTGCATACACAAACTCACGCACATACACACACTAACACACCCACACACACACCCACACACACACACACACACACACACACACACACACACACACACACACACCCACACCCACACACACACTCACACACACTAAAACAATACAGCAACTCACAGCGATCCGACTTGCGTTATTCTCCTGTAAGCGACCTGGACTACGGCACCTTGCTGTGCTGGGCGACCAACGCTGTGGGCACACAGAAAACACCTTGCACCTTCACTGTGTTCCCTGCCGGCAAGCCGGACATGGTGAGCTCTTGCAATGTGTTCAACGAGACGGAGGAGAGTGTGTCTGTGTCATGTGTCCCCGGCTACAGCGGGGTGTGGATCAGAGCTTCCTGCTGGAAGCCTGGGATGATGGTGTTGTCCGCGCGACGATACAAGCGATGCTGCTGTTCTCCAGGTAACTGTCCTCTAGTCTGATGTAGCTGAGTTTTTGTATTTTGTTACGTCATGTATGAAAGATAATCTAAATTTCATATACAGCTGTGAAATACAATATTTCCGTCTATCTACCCAAGCAGCTTCGTTTTTTTTCACTCTGGCTGAGAACCGTCTGTAGACGATGTTCACAATGAAATGTAAACGCGATTTCTGCTAACCGAGGGTCTCCGTTTTCTTTTTACGCTTCGAAACTCCTTATTACCTTCACGTATTATTTCTTATATATGTATCACTTTACGATATAATCGGTTAAATTTTATTAAGCTGTTAGAACCTTTCATAACCAAATCTAACTTAGATTACGAATATAAGAGAAACTATCAGTATATTTATATACTGAAGAAATCAACGTTTTGGAAAGAACATGTGCCTTCATCTGCACTTTTCATTCATTTAATTGTTTCACAAAGGAATTAAATTGTAAAGAAATTTAATTTCTCTGTTCTAGATTAATTGCATGCTTTGTCGTCCTTGTTATAGCTAAATTGCTCTTATTTACCTCTCCGAAACAGACCAATTGTCCTAATTAAGGTTTTTAATAGCATTTACACATTTTTTTCATGTATGTTTCTTTGTTTATTCTGTGTTCTTGTTAATTTAGTTGTTATATTTTGCAAGTCATAATATTCTGATGAATGGCATGAAGAAACTCTAATAATGCTCAGCTGAGTGCATTGTAAACATGTGTGATGATCAGCTGAGTGACATCAATACGTGCAACGATCAGCTCATTGACAAATACATGCATCTGTAATGATCAGCTGAAGCCGTAATCATCTGAGTGACATAAACATTCATCTGTATTAATGAATATAATGACATGCAGTCATTAATGATAATCTCTTGAGAGACACAAACGTATGTAATAATCAATCATTCACGTTTAATGATCAGCTGAGTCACACAAACACGTGTAATGATCACCTAAGTCACACAAACACGTGTAATGATCAGCTGAGTGACAGACACGTGTAATGATCAGCTGAGTGACACAGACACGTGTAATGATCAGCTGAGTGACACAGACACGTGCAATGATCAGTTGAGTGACACAGACACGTGCAATGATCAGCTAAGTCACACAAACACGTGTAATGATCAGCTGAGTGACACAGACACGTGTAATGATCACCTAAGTCACACAAACACGTGTAATGATCAGCTGAGTCACACAACACTGTAAGTGCACCTAAGTCACACAAACACGTGTAATGATCAGCTGATGACTACAGACACGTGTAATGATCAGCTGAGTGACACAAACACGTGTAATGATCAGCTGAGTGACACAGACACGTGTAATGATCAGCTGAGTGACACAGACACGTGCAATGATCAGTTGAGTGACACAGATATACACTTGCAATGATGACCTGACTGACATAAACATTCACGTGCAATGATGAGCTAAGTGACATAACTGACATACCGCAACAATTGTGTTGCAGTAATAGAGTCAAGATTGCCAAGATATGTCAAGAAAACATTCATAAAACAGGACAGCCCATGAAATAGCTCCTGATAACAACATGAAAATTGATTTATAAATAAAGCGAGACAGGGAAGAAAGGCGAAGCAAAAACTTACTGAATATCGTAATAATGTTGGTAAGACTATACCCACGATATGTTAGGTATAAGGACACAAGTTCAACTAATGTGAAATTTTGTTGTGGCAACGTTTCGCTCTCCAAGAGTTTTGTCAAGCCGTTAGTTTGACAACAATAAAATGTTACATTAGTTGCACTTGCATCCTTTTACCTCCCTTTATATCTATTATACAAATAGCTGGATTGCAAGAAATACAATTAATATGCTAATACTAACTGCATGTGTAAGAAATGTAGATGTATTTGTAATAACTAAAATTTTGGTCAGTCTGCAAAATAGGGAAATACATGGTTTAGAAAGACACGTAAGCAAACACTATAACATATTTATTAGAAAACGTTTCGGTCCTGGGACCTTGATCAAGGTCCCAGGACCGAAACGTTTTCTAATAAATATGTTATAGTGTTTGCTTACGTGTCTTTCTAAACCAGCTTGTCGGTATTTATTACCAAGGTTTATACCAGGGAAATACATGCTGAATTCAGCATAGATGGGTACACATTAATTAATACATATAAAGCCAACAGGAATGGGGATGATGAGTTGCTACGCATGTTAAGGAAAATTTAAACAGTTGCATCAACAAAGATATGAAGATGGAAGGGACGAATACAGAATCTGTTTGGCTGCAATTTTTCGAAGGGCATTAAAAACTAATCTTAGATGTGATCTATACGTCCCCAAATTTAGAAAGTAATCAGGGTAAACTTTTTTTTAGAACACAATTGCTCAGGCATCTAGAAACGAAAATATAGTTTTAATTGTATGTTTTTAACTTTAAAATAATCGAATAAGTAAACTCGAGTCTAGCAACTTTCTTGAGATGGTCCAGAACTGCTTTTTGAACCAGTTTGTCAGAACCCACTAGATAAAATAACCTGCTGGACTTGGGGAAAATGATCACAATTACCATAATAACAAAGTTAAGGTCCTTAGTTATCATGCTGCATATTATATTGAGTAAAGTGATTACCTGAGAAGTGCATATTTGGGTAACGTGACTAAGGACTATCATTGTGATCGTTGTCAATACGTCATATTCCAGAGCATTGTACAAGCTAACCAAAGCTGCTTACATTCAGACAGAGAATTTAGGTCAAACATGAATGAACCTAAATAAATTAACAATAGACTCAAACATCTCCTGCTAATCAGAAATGAAGGGGTCATTGTAATGAACAATATATTCAGTTTATGAGAGAAGTCTTAAAAAGGGTAAGAAAAGCTAAAAGAGAATATGAGATTAAGGTTGGTGGGAATCAAAGACTAATCCTGGGTTTCTTCCAGGTATAAAGGAATAAGCTTACTGTTAGTGACGAAGAAATATGTACCATTTTCGACACTTATTTCCTCTCTGTTTTTACATAACAGGATACAAACGAAATTTCAGCAGTCAATAATTTGATTGTTCAGGACAAAAATAAATTATGTAATATCACACTCACTAGTAACATTGTTTTCAAACAACCAGACAGATCGAAGCCAGACTAGTACAGGACCTTGAAGCTTGAGTTTAAGGTTTTTACAGGGATGGAAGGAGGAACTTAACCAACCATTACCTAATCGCTTCAACATATCACTATAAACAGGTATCGTACAAAATAAATGCTTCATATTATAGACCACTCAGCTAATCCTCAGTGAGAAAGATGATGGAATCAATAATTGCCAGTGCAAACTGAAGCTACTTTGAAAGTTATAATTTGATCAACGAATCTCGCCACGGTTTTATACAGGGAAGTTCTTACCTTACCAATTTAGTAACCTTTTCCACCAAGGTATTCTAGGAGGGAGACCAGTATAAAGAATAGGAAATGATGTATTTGAACGTCAGTAAGTCTTCTGATATAACTCACACAGGAGACTGATTAAGAAAGTAGCAACATATGGAATAGGATGAGAAATAATCTCCTGGATAGAGGCATAGCTGATCGATAAGCAACATGGAATTTGTATTAATGAGTAGAAATAAAAATGAGGACGTCCTATGAGTGGCGTTCCACAAGGGTCAATGTTGGGACCCTTCCTGTTCACAATCTTCATAAGCGACATTGTCTAGGGAATAAATAGTGGAATAAGTAATTCTGTTGATTATATTCAAATAGGTTGTAACATAATTTCTGGTGTGGACACTAGAAGCTACAGGATTACCTGGAAAAGTTGTTGTTATTGTCTCAGTTAAGCCAGATGCGGCTCAGTTGAGACAAGTGTAATGTTCTAGTCCTAGGAAGAAGATATTACTATGGTACTTAAAAAGTAAAGTATGTAGGTCTTAGTGATAGTGAATGCAAGAAAGATCTAGGATTTCTGGTTAGCAGAAATTTAAAGCCGGGAAAAGAGTGCTTTAGTATTCACAATAAAACTAAGAGAAGTCCTAAGGTTATACTTCAAATTGATTTCTATTTGGTTAGACCTCATTTAGATTACGCTGCTCTGTTCTGGTGTCCATATAAAAGGATGTACAAAAATATCTTCCTAAATTTACAGAGAAGGAAGACTTAATGAGGCCATGTATTGAAAATCTTCTCTCTGACGATAGGCTGACGGCACTGAGCTTGCATTCTTTGGAAAGGTGTTAAATCAGGAGAAATATGAGTGGTGTATAAATGGAAAACAGAAATAAAAGGAATGTCAATAGCGTGTTGAAAAAATCTAACCAAGTTAAAACTCCAAGGAATGGATTCAAGATGGAGAAATTTAGATTTAGAAAGGATAGTGTTAAGTTGTAGACGAGTGGAACAAACTCCCAGGTAACGTCATTAAGACAAGAACGTTGGGTAGCTTTATATATAAGTTGGATATGAGGATATAAGTGTGGGTAATTGCAAATTGGACCTGCCTATATGAGCCAGTAGACCTGCCTAGTATGGGCCAGTAGACCTGCTGCAGTGTTTCTTCTTTCTTATGTCCCTTCTCATCAGATAGCCACGGCGTGAACATTAATGTCTTTAGTTGTTTGCCTTTTCCATGTCCTACAACATAATTATTTCGATCAAAGTGTTTTATCGAACATTCTTATGAGAGACATTATTTTAATGAAGAATTAGTGGTTTCAAGCATCTACTTGACACTCAGTTCCCTCTTATACATACACAACGGTAAAAACTGACAAAGGTTATTAAAATATAAACTCTCCCAAGGGTGGGGTTCGATCCTGCTGCAAGTCAGCCCCAACCCGATCCAGTGGCTCTTAGCCACTGGATCGTAAATGCTACAAAAACGATGATTCCAACAGTGTGTGTTTTTACAACAGCACCAAAAGACGTAGAATTTTCTGGAAGCATCTTCCAGGTCACCACCAGCGACAGGATCCACAACTCATATTACCTCAGTGCCGGTGACGATGATG